TGGTTTGTCGACCCCCGGCCTTTTGCTCCCGGAGCCTCGACACCCAGTAGTGACGTAACCACCTTGACCATTGCCCACGAGGCCATGTAGCTCGTATATCCCCTTTTCATTACACCATAGACCACACATTTGAATCATAGCCCTCAACTAGGATTCTATCACATAATCCCCCAAGTCACCCACTGTAAGGGCTTTGGATAACCAAACAACTAGTCTGCATTTTCACTTCAGACAAGTCATGGAATAACAAACAACTAGTCCGTTCCACCACTATAGACAACTACAACTAATCCCTCCAAGACATCTATAAGTCATTCACACTTGTAATCACAACACAATTTTCCAGCATGCTCTTCATCGTACATAACAATAAAAAAAAATAATAATCCAGTAGCTTCCAACTAACAAACATAAACTAAATAACATGAAACTAACACGTGCATTTTATTCTCAAGACATGCTTTCAAACATCAAAGCTTAATCACCTCCAACCATACCAATAAGCAACACCCAAAATTTCAGACAACGGGCATGGATACAAGTTATATACATATCAAATAAACAAAAACAGCAAGTTACAATAGTAGTATCGACCTCACAACCATGTCTAACAATTAAAATGGCAAGAGAAACACACTTACAAAAACAGTCAGCAAGAACCATTTCTATCAGMACACAACAATGCACACACCCCCCTGGTACTACTTACACCCTGCTACGCTCCTAAACCTTGCATTGATTCAACACCTAAACATCAATAGACAAACAGAAATAATTAAAACAAAAATTCCAGCCATCGAAATCTATTATAAGGGGTCTTGCAGCGTCCATTACCGCAAAATYGACTTCGTTTAGGTGCCGGTAACTCAGGCCTAACTCGAATGGATGTGGGTTGCGTATGTCGAGCTTGTAACGGTTATGGGTAGATGCCGAAAGCCACAAACTGCTGCTATTAGTGCTTTTGCATCAATAAAAAAAACTCACCAATCGATACCCACAAACC